GGGGGTAGGTGTCAGGTGATGTGTGACAAGTCCAAATTAAAGATGACATAATGGCGGGGGCCCGGATGGGGTCCAAACTGGGGGCTGACTGAGACTGAGGGTGGGGGCAGACCGTGGCAACCAAGTTGAGCTGGGCCATGCTGGGCTGGGCTAGGCTGGGGCTGGGCAGCAGGGGGCTACCCTGCAGGCTCCTCCATATGGAACGCGTTAGCCTAGCGATTGCTAATGAAATGCAGGCTGACGTCAGGCAGACACCCACCCATTGTTTTGCTGCTTAATTTGTTATAATATTTGTCTTACAAATGAGGATTTTGCCATGACAGAGGAAGAATGAGAGGCTACAGCTACAGATGAACAAAGGTGGCCAAAGGGCATTACAGTAAGAGCCCGACGTTAAAGCACCAAATGGGGTTTGAGCATTTACTCTAACGGTAGAGAAAAGCTATGGGACTTAGCGTAAGTGCTAACACAAGAAGAGCCTGGGCCTCAACTGTCTAAGTGGGAGGTATAGTGACCGGAGGACTAGCATGGGTGGGTGCGCTGGAAAGGGAGGAACTGCTCAGAGGCTCGGAGTATGTGTTAATTGCATATGGAAGTTTTTACGTAAACAAACATTTCTGCATTACTCAAAACTATTTGTTTAAGGAATGCATCATTCAGGCTACTCCTGCAGCTGCCTGCCTGTTTTATGCATCCTCATTTTCACTCTTTCAGCAAGTGTTATTTTTCATAATTACCCCCCCCCCCTTCTCTAGGTCTCTCTTCCTCTCCTCCTTTCCTTTGAGCCCATTCAACCAGTATCCAACATACAACTCTTCCTAAAATAGGCTCAGTGGAGCAAGTTTAAGAATGCTTTTGTTATTCCAAAAGGAGTTGTGCTGTAATTGACCACCACCTGGGCATCTGGCAGAAGTCACAGTGAGCTGGAGAGAAGGGGATGCAGAGGGAGAGGAAGGAGCAGTGGATGGAAAGAATGAAAGAAATGACAAAATGGAGGTGAACAAATGGAGACTGAGGGAAGAAAAGAAAGGAAGAGAGATTAATGGAAGTGAGGGGTTGAATGATGGAAAGTGTGTGTGCTATGCCCCTCTCTCACTCTCTCTCTCTCTCTCTCTGTCTCTCGCTCTTCCACTCTGACATGTCAATTCGAAGGTGCTTTATTGGCATGAGTAATGATGGGAGGTGTTGCCAGGGTAATTACATAGCACATTAAAGGGTTTCATAAACATTACAGTTCCTCCTCTGCCCGGTGGCAAGGCTAAAGGGGCAGGGAGAGGGAAAAAACAGAATGAGAGAAATGGACACAGTGAGAGGGAGCAGAAGCAGCACAAAGGAGAGTAGAGGGGAGGATGGAAGAGTAAAGGGCACTTACTGGAGAGGAGGGGGAGGTGTGGGAGGAGTGTGGAGAAGATGAACAGAAAAGATGACAGGAGTGAAGGTTACCATGATCATGGATTCCATCGCTGAGAGCCTGAACATGAAACAGGAAGAAAAAAAAAAAAGCATGCCGGATCAGCGTCCAAAACAAGCCACAGCTGCAATTCACATCACTATGCATGGACAGCACTGGATAACTCTCTCTCTCTCTCTCTCTCTCCCTCCCTCACTCACACACACGCACACTGCAGCAATGAAACACACCTACACAACTTTGTGCACACCCTTGTTGACACAATCTTTGCATGTACTCTCAACCATTCACACTATAGCCACAAATCCCACACACTCAGCTGTGCACAGTCTGTCACTGAGGGTCATGACACTCTCACTCAACCAAACACACACAACCACAAGGACCATAATTAAACAAACATCTACCCAGTCGCTGAGCGTTGCGTATTTATGTACAACCTCATTGGTCGAAAGCAATTAACTTCTTCTTCTTCTCTGCCAATCAGTGTCAGACAGCATGCAGTGCCACTCCTGCAGTCAAACTCTCATCACACAGGACTTTTCCTGTTTACCCCGTAGTGTTCTAGCATTGAATCTTTAGCTTTGTGCATTCAGATTTCAAATGAAATATTCAGATAGTCCCTGTTGTTGTTGAAATTTATTTCTGTCATTGGTTTAATTTTATTGGGATGGTGAGAACTTCTTGGCTCCTGTGCGAGGTTTTGTCATGGTTTCCTGATGATGCTGATATACGATCCAGGTGCATGAAGATGGTGCCTTCCAAGTTCAATGTCTTTATGTTTTTGTTTTTTTGCATACCACTTCATCAATGCAAAGTGTTCAAACTTCAACAAACGGTCTTGCCAGATGGCACAGAGGTGAAGATGAGTCAGTCTTGCTGCTGGATTGCATATGTTGTTGGATCTAAGGTCAGTATTATGCGCTTTGTTAATCTGAAAGCCACTGAATAACTTTCATAAATAAATCGTTACAAGTATTAGTAGTAAGTTAAGAAAGCAAGTGTAGCCTGAAGAACACGACTACCGGGGCACGATTCACTCTGCAAAACCAGGTTTTGGCCTAACAGTGACAAGCTAGATTGCATGAATAATTACCCTGACATGAGTCCAAAGCAGCATCAAACCCTCCAACTTGAAAGTGTCAAAGTAAAGTTATTCCCGGGCTTCAGCTGGGCTATGTATAGAGACAACAGCTGCAGTGGATTCTGGGAGGGAGGAGAGTAAACTTTCATATTCACTGGATTAATCTTGCTAAGCGAGAGAAGGGAGCAGGCTGTGCACCACCAACATCGCTGCTAATAAAAACAATATTTTGCTTTTCTCTTCATCTCAACCACGGCTCTCTATCGCACAAACGGCTCTCCGCTAATTAATTCCTGCTCTTACTTAGTTGCAGCTGTCGATTCTCTCATCTCGCAGACGCGGACAAGTGGCGAACAGGTTCTCATTTCAAAGCCCGGCACACTGTACACATTCCTTGACTTTGCATGGGCCCCCCTGTCATCAAAGGGCCTTTATTAAGTGTCTCATACATTTACACATTGGGGAACAGTTTAAACTTGGCCCATGATTAACAGAGTAGGGATATCTATCCCAGAAACCAATGTTAGGCTGACATCTCAACATCTGATGTGAAGTCTATGCCTGCAGGTATTAATCAAAGCCACAAGTCTCTCTCTCCCTCCAGAGATCCCACATATACACAGGCCTGCTCCTCTGGTCCCGCCTCCCATCCAAACATATACAGCCCATACCTTATAGACAAAGCTAATTGGACACAATCCAATGCACTTGACACATCTAAGAACTCTAAATTTGCGCAGTGTGTCACCAGAATGATGGATTGCATTTATATAGTTCAAAGTCTTCACAGTGTCTAACACTTTAGAGCACACAGCGGGGGGATGATATCGCCTGCCTGCCAACTTGTCTTTGACTGCATCCAAACCAACGAATATCTCAACCCGACTCACACCTCTGCACACACACACACACACGACTGCCATAATGAGTCAACAACTGGCCCGTGGCTCAGAGCGCTCCAAGCTCTGCATTAAGGTTCCACTCCAGTCACCCATAACATAGAGTCCACCACACCATGCTTCTCCTCCACGATGACCTTGGGGTCAGGCCAGAATGCCCTCATATAATGAGAGTGCTGTTTGGGGATTTGTTGGACTGTGATAGAGAAAGGGCAAGCACGCGCAATGCACCCTGGGTCTTTGTCTGG